TCTCTCTCTCTCTCTCTCTCTCTCTCTCTCTCTNCTCTCTCTCTCTCTCTCTCTCTCTCTCTCTCTCTCTCTCTCTCTCTCTCTCTCTCTCTCTCTCTCTCTCTCTCTCTCTCTCTTTGATGTCTTTGTATCTCAGTTGTCGCCGTCTCGCGCGCCCAATGTCATCTCGCCGATTACCACCTTCACGGGTGCACCGAGCCCACACACATGAAACGGGTCTCTAGTCGCCAAACGCCAGCCCGCTACCCCTCCTTCCTCTCGCTGTCCCGTCGTCTAGTTCGATGCCTCGCGCACCGTCGTGCTCACCGTACACGGGAACACACGGACACTTGGAGCGTGCCTCCTCGCCTCCGCCCCTCCGCGGCCCGCTTCAGTCGCGGCTCCGCGCCAAGCTACGTGCGGGCGAACGTGCGCCATTCACTCACCTCCCCCCTCCTCCTTCTCTTTGCTTGTGCGCCCTCGCCCTCGCTCCCTCAACGATGTTGGCTCGATGTCGAGTGCAGACTCGCCCCCAGGGCGCTCCTCTCCTCGCGAACCTTTCTCTCCTTTTCTCACTCTCCCTCGGGCGCTCTCTCCTTCTTTCTCCCACCGACGCATGAGCGAACTCGTGCGCTTCCGAGAACTCCTCCGTACGTCGGACGTCCCTCCCCGCACATCGTCCACCGAACCCTCCTCCTCTTTTATACCCCCTGTGCCTCTCCGAGTTTTCCTCTAGTTGCTTCCACTCCTCCGTCTACGATTTTCTGGCGCCATCCTCCAAATTTTAGAATTTTCCCGCCGACCTTTTCTTTTTTCTATCTTTGTTTCCCTTCCTTCTCACCGGCGATCCTCTGCTCATCTCATTCTGACCAATAGCCGTTCATTCCCACTTCTCCTCCGGATCTCAATCTCTCCCCCCAAAGCCCCTGCAACAAGAACCTTTGCCCGCGCGCATCCTTGCGTCCGTGAGTCTCCCCTAGTCACATCTCCCTCGCTCGCGGTCTTGTTCTAGCCCACTCCTCGAGGTTTGTGCTCCCCGCATCTTCTTTTTCGATCTCCCTGCTTCTCTCCACTTCTCGTTGCCTCGTTCTTGTTTTTGCGTCTGCATCTGCCCATCTTCCGAACTCGATGCATACCCGACTTTTCGATTCCACTGGTGCTCTTCCTTAGTCGCCACGAGCGTTAGCCGGCAACCGTTCGACTCATTTCCCTTTGTCCCTCCCGACACCCACTGCTATCTTCAATTTCCCTTCCTTACTCAGGACCTACTCAGCAAACCTTTGATCTCTCTCTTCTTCTTTTCTACCACTCCCCAACGTCGTATCCGAAACCTTCCCCAGCCAGCCAAACGGTTGGCTGACGCTTCCCCTCCCTTGCTGTAACTGCCTGCGTCCTTGCCGCCTGAAGCATCGACTCTTAGCCGTACTTTTGGACCGGGTACATCCGGCTGCAGGATGCGGCCCAGGCCGTTGCTTGCGACGGTTATCAAAATGATCTATGTAGCTTGTCCTTCTGATTGCCTCGAATCTCGTTCCCCGTCATCGTTTCATCGACGGTTAAGTCACCTCTCACGCTTCTCACACGCCAACAAGAGGGGGGGGGGTCCCCAACTTACTACGGACCCGCTGCTGGTAGCATGCTCATCCCTCCCCCCGGGCGGAGTTGGCAGCACGAGGATCCCTCCGATGTCTCTTTGTGTCGACTCGCCTCCTGCACCCAGCCGCGGATGCACCCGTCGTCCCCGATTGATCCCATTCATCCACCGGCCAATCTCATTTCCCCACCGGCTAGTTGACCGTCGTCGCATCGACGAATGTCAGGGAGCCGGCTCTATCTTACGGCGATCACTGTCCAGGCAGGCTTCCGAAGCTGTCGACACAGGATCCGCCCCTGCCTCCAGTCTTTACCAAGATGCAGCCCCCGTTGCCTTCTTGATTAGGTCTCACGGAACCCCCCCTAGTAGTGTGGTCATCGCGAGTTCCCGCAGGCTCCTGAACATCCTTCTCCCTGTATGAAGCAGGCCGCGGGGGACCGGAGTAGTCCGACTGTTCCTCGTGGTCAAACCTGACCCTCACAAGTCCCAATTCCTCGAGTTTCTCCAGGGTCCGTCCCGAAGTCCGCCACCGACCCTTGATTTCTTGCCTTAGGTATTAAAACCCTCGATCCTTCGGAATCCGCACGTGCCCACTCGCGATCATGGTTCGAACCTCCACTCCAGTCCATGCCAAGGTTAGTACGAAGGCCTGGATGCCCGAGGACATCCATAAACAACATACTCGCATTCATGCTTACTTCAAAACCACGCAAAAACCATAAAAAAAAAGGGAAAATATTCTTCATTTCAAAATAAAAACCCTTCGGCTGGTAGCCAGCCGCCCGACACCGTTACTAGCGCAAAGGCTTCTCCTTTAAAACGTACTGTGTATAAAGATGTATCCAAGGGACGTTGGACCCGGTTTCCAGCAGGTGTTGCTCCCCATCAATAGATGGAGCGGCCCGCCAGGCGAGCCTCAATCCCGGTGGTTCTCTTACCACCATCAGGATAGAGGCCTTGCATAAGGGTTTTTCTCAAAAAAAAAAAAGAAAAAAAAAAGAGCTTGCTCAGTCGCTATCCCCCCCTGCTGGTGGCCTTGCAGGCCCTGCCTGCCTATGGCTTTTCTGTGGATGGCTGCCCATCCATGCCTTCGGGATCACCCAACGGGTAGGCCTCGGGATCGGTCTGCTGGCACCCTTTTTCCGTGGCCGGCTTTCTATCGATAGCCTGAGAGACCACCTATATTCAGCCTCCGTTTAGCCTACTTAGGCTCTTAATTGCGCGACTTAGCAGTCGCACGACTTTATTTTAGGTAGAATAGGTCTAGATCTACCACTTTCATGCCCGCACGCATCTGCGGCTTCGACAAAAGTGAAGCATTGCCATTCACATTCGTTACTCCCAGATGCCACACGTGTTCGGACTAAAGTTCGGAAACTTTTAGTCTTTCATTCATAGGTCAGGTCTGAATAAACTTTTGACAACGTCAGTCTCATCAAGTCCTTCAATTCAATGGAAGAGTCGGGTGACGTCCGACTTTGAAAAACCTCGGCAAATACCCTTGCCCCGACAGCATTCCCAGACCCCATTGAACGACGTCCCCGTCATTCACCATCAAAATAGAAATCAGGATCTCTATAAAAATTATGTGTGAAAGCAACGAATACAATACATGGTAATATCCAGATAAGGTGATGAACGAGATCACACGTACAAGGTGAGCAGAACACCCACATGCACAAAGTTCAAGACACTTCGAAAATTTCGAAGAATCTGAATAGTAAATGCTTAGTACAAACTCGAATCCCGGCGGGCATGACACCCCGACCGGTTTCAACCGCCGCCACGCGGTCTCATCAGGAGGAAAAAAACACCAACGTCAAAACCCTCGTACATTCTCCAGCATACCGCCAACCCACCTCCGCCGTCTATCCTGCGACATCTCCGGAAAATGTTCACAGGTACGCCGGCGTCGGACCCGGAAAGAGTAATGTCATAGCATTTCTCCTATCTATAGTACTACTTGTCGGCCCGTCGGTACACACACCACAAAACAGTCAGACCGTACAAAGACAAAGACAAAATAAAATAAAAGAAAAGAGAACAAAATAAGGCCAGACACTATCTATCTGGCACGGAAAAATATATCGTAGGCCCATACATAGCCCCCATCGGTTGCACAAACTTGGCCTTTATGCCAATTCCACTATCTACGGGTGCCCAGGCCACCCGGTAGTCCCAAACAAGCCGTTATGTTCAATCATTGACAAACAGGCCCCTAGCCAGGCACTGCTACGAATCAAACAGTACCTACTGGCACGAAGAAAGGCTACAGGAAAGCTAAACCTAAAAAACAAAACAAACCCGAGTGCAAAAACGACAGCCCCGATAATTCATAAACAACCCTGTCCGAATAATCCAATGTCGTAAGTCCTACCACCAGAGCATATAGTATAATAGAAAATTTCTCTGTCCGAATATCCGGATATAAGTCCGATATCCGATTTCGACAGTTCCGTACCCAAAGATATCACTCCGGGTTTATGACGACGAAACCTACGAAGAAAGAAAGAAAGACCGGAAAGAAAACGATGCAAAAAACAAAGAGAAAGGAATGACATTTCATCAAAAAATCGCTATCCTCTATGAAATCCTAATTAGACGACGTACGATGAAAGCAAGCACAGAGGTCACCAACGAAAGCATCCAGAACTATATCGTACGGTACTCAACTACTGATACAACCAATCGACCGTATTCATCCAGATCCGATCTCTGCCAGTAGCGAAACGACGAATAACCCTTTCGACAAACACGGCAGGGCAGTCCTTCATACGGGATTCCATGGTCAAATCCAAACCACTCATAGGTATCATCCACCTACGATTTGTATTGCGGTCGATACGGTGCAGTTGGCAAGCGAGCGCTGCGCTCTTCTTGAGCTTACTGCTTCACGAACGGTACGATTGTCCGTTCTTAAATTCCAATATGTCGTATTCCTAGATCGACCTCAGATTCTTAGTCATCTGGTAGCAGCCCACATATGGCGAAATAGCATTTGCAACTTGAAGCATGCGCGTCCCCAAGAAGTCCCATTCACCCTGACCATCGTCTGTCCTCTTCAGTTGCAAGTTGTTGGGATAACAACTCTCAAAGGCAACCCGGATATCCTGAATGTTCATCTTGTTACGGCTTTGCTGTACAACGATCAACCTAACGCCGTCCATAAGTCGTAGACCGGAAACATCGCGATTGATACTGCCCAAATTGTGCAGAAAACGAAACTCCGCAAAGGCGCACATAATACACGTCAGTGGTGGGCTTGTGTTCTTCCCCATAGGGATGCCCACCACATGTCTCAGCAGTACACGTGTAGCGTGTGTGTACGTATGCCTTAATTCGAAGCGCACGAAAGTTTTGATTACCTGTAAACAGATAGGACACCAATGATCGTCTCCCGTCGTTCTTCCAAATGTACAACCCTTACCCCTAGTGTTTACTCGTACGAATTCCCTACCCTTACTGCAGTGGTAGTCAACAATCCAGTCAACTGCCTCGATGATGTCGACATGCGGCAATTTGAAAAACATGTCCTTGATGTCATATGATAATGCAATCGGTGGCGAAGACCCTTCGATCCTCAACCCGATCTTCTTGCTAATCGCCTCTAGTGTTGGGACCAAAACAGACACAGACTTCAAGTTGAAATGCCACCTCGCAGGGAAGGTATTCAACAAGTGGTTCAGTGTCTTGGCGACCGCTCTGCAGGTCTTCACTGTTGGTTCCTCAAAAGTCAGGCAAATCGGGCGAAACCTAGTTAAATCTTTGTGTTTGGGCATTGCATAGGCTTCGCCGAATTTGCCTTTCTTATCCCATCTTACGAATGGCAGTAATCCCTCAGCTTTCGCATCCACCCTCATACGACACTTCACCTCCTTATCACCCATACTCGACACCACGTACCCAGGGCTGGTAACAAACAGCTTCATCATCGCTTCAAAATAGACCTTGGGACACAACACGAGTGTCTCCCCTGGATTCCTATCCAGCGGGGTTAACACCAGACCATTCAGTCGTGCCTTAACCGCCTTAACAGTATTGACATCGATAAAACGTGTGCGTTCCACACTGGTAGGCATGCAACGGACCGCATCACTCTCGCTGATCGTCGGCATAGGTCCGCGGAATTTAGCCCATGAGCTAATTCCGTTAGTCAACTCCTGACACAACACCCTCACACGATTAGGATCAACATGCCTAGGAAAGTTGTTAGCGTTAAAGATTAAAGGATCCACATCATCCAGCTCCTGCAATCTGAACCGCACGTGATCTCCTACCCGAGGGTAGGGAAGACATGCACAAGCACAGGTAAGCACATCAACTTTAGTAAAAGCTCGCTGATTATGCAGCAAACATGTGATCGATGGGTTCTTTACCCATACGATTCGAATGTTACTACGTGCGAGGTTCCTCATGCAAATAGGAATCTCCAGCTCCTCAATTCGATCATTCAACAACGTACGGACTTCAACCAACTTAATTCGGTCGTCAAATTTAACACGGGCAATTAGTCGTGCATTAAGACTCCAGCCATAAGCATCCTTCACTGCACGCGATATCAGCCTCCGAAGAAACGCTGTGGTACTCGCCTTCTGAAAATCAGCTGCAACACCGTTCATTCGTATTAATGCGTCAAGAGAACAAGTCTTCAGCAGGCCAACGGGGTAAGGATGACGCAAGATCGAAACCATGAATTTCTTATCAGGTCCTGACTTGGGTTTCCAACGTCTCAATTGCCTAATCTCAATAGTCCCCTCATGTTCCATCCATGCTTTACACTCCCTCAATCTGCAACATGTGCCCTCACGTCTAACAACAGAGTCACCAAAACAGTTTCATAACGACTTCCACCCTCCATACCACACGTTCCCACCTTCCGTATGCAAGGTAAATCTGCGATTACCAGCACTTTCCATATTAGCAAGCAGCCAGTAGATATCCATACTGCGCACATCTTTTTTGCCGATCCATGCACGAATAGGTGCGACTGCTTTAGGCTCTCAACTGTGCCCCTTCTTCTGCGTTAGGCGACGTTCCTTCCGCCCTTTTCCTTCCTTGCTTCTTGTTACGCTTCGGACGGGCGGTGCCTGCCGTATTCAGAACAGGAGACCAACGTCGAATATAGATATGCTCAAGAGGCAACAGCTCCAAAGCCGTACAACAATCCACGGGTATGATTAAATATGACTCAATACCGAAAGCATGCCACCAACGATACACATGATTCTTCTTAATCCCACGCTTATAAACAAACGCATGCTCGGACCAGCGGACACGAGGTCCACCACGTACATAGCTTTACAGGACGGCGAAATAAGGATATATACACAACTACGCTCCTCAACAAACACCCGTACGCCAAACTTAACGTATAGTGTTACCCACGCTTCCGTACACTTGCGTAACCATCGGATTTCTCCTTCCAAAGCCAAGATGATAACCACAATGCAGTAAAGCTTCTCAACACCCGCCTCTAAGACATTGCCCTTACGAAATTCGATCAAGCGATGACAAAGATCCCATAATTCACTGATGTTTCATGCATCATGGCTTTCATAGCCACCTTCGACAGATTGCGGGTCTTCAACTTCGCGTCCGATAGGTTCGAACCCTTGTACCTCATCACCATAGGCCACCTGTGTGCGCTTGTCTGCCAGTGCTAGGATGATCTGCATCTTCCTGCACTCAGTGCCCAGCTGCACTCCCTCCTGGGCACACAGCCGTGTCAAATCTTCCACATTAAGTTTGCCCAAAGCACGCAGGTTATCTATAACGTACTTGAGCTTTCCACAGGATCTCGGAGGTGCCGGGATCTTCTTCATGGATGTTGCACAGCGACGCGATGCCCTACCCGTAGGAGGGCGCTTCATCGGAGGATGCTTAACGCTCAGGTGTAACCGTCGCTTAGCAGTCTTCCGAGCCGGAGTTTCCAAGGGCAGACTATCCCCATCAGGTAGATCCTCGCCGCGTTTCCGTTTCTCGGAAATGACGAGTTGTTCCGCTTGGTTACTCAACGCTTCCACATCACTTTCATAGGATCCATCGGTACCATCATCAGATGATGAAGATGACATCACAACTTTCTTCTTGCCTTTAGCCGTACGTGTAGCGTCCGCCGCCTGTTGAGCCCCACGTTCACGAAGGTAAGGCAGTTCTTCGCGTAGGCTACCCATATGCGTAAACACCTCCATGCGTAATTCCTTCTTCATAAGCTCACGATCTTCGACTATTTTTTTTAGTTTCTCCTCCTTGCGTTTTTTTCGACGTTCTGCTTCCTGACGCGCTTGTTTCTCAGCGGACCGAGCCTCCTCTTCACGTCGCTTCTGCTCCAGCTTCAAGTTCTCCTGTTTACACTTAGCCTTCTTCTCCTTTTTCTTGCTTTCGTCATCCAATTTCTCCTTCATAGTAGCGATAGTAGTGGTTAGATCGTCAATTTGTCGTCGTAGCATCGGGTCTTCCGAAGCCGCTCTGGCTTCGTGGGTTATCCCATGCCGCGTAGGAGAGAACGATCTTCCACGTTGAGCACCACCACGCGAGCTACCTTCACCTACGAGCTTGGGGCACTGATTCCAATAGTGCCCTGACTCTCCACACTCGTAACAGACAGGCGTGAATCTTCTCGGTGGAGGATCGCGCCTACAGTCATGGAAGCTAGTGTGTTGTCGCGGTCAGGAGTACTATCCCGGTTCTGCTCTCGACCCCTGTCCCAACGACCATCATAGCCACTGTCATGGCTACGGTCGCTGTATCGCTCACGATGTTCATCTCGACAAAAATAGCGTCGGCCCGAGCTACCCATCCTCGACGATGTTGACACAGGCAGACGTCAACACGTCCCTTCGACACTCAGCTGTGCTTCAAAACGCAACTTTACTCGCCAAAAACTCCGAAATAAAGGCGGCACGTAGTAGAACGTAAAAACAGTAAAAACTATAACACGGTACAATGAAACACTTATAACATGCTCAAACACTCCCAGCCATCATTTCTGAGTTGGTTCACATGCGCCTTCACAAGGTAATATCCAGATAAGGTGATGAACGAGATCACACGTACGAGGTGAGCAGAACATCCAACATGCACAAAGTTCAAGACACTCTGAAAATTCTGAAGAATCTGAATAGTAAATGCTTAGTACAAACTCGAATCCCGGCGGGCATGGCACCCCGACCGGTTTCAACCGCCACCACGCGGTCTCATCCGGGGGAAAAAACCACCAACGCCAAAACCCTCGTACATTCTCCAGCATACCGCCAACCCACCTCCGCTGTCTATCCTGAACATTTCAAACAATCGTACGGAACTAGCCGGAACGTTTTACGACAATTTACAACAATACAATAACAAAACTGGATTTAGCCTCCAGAAGCCTTCACTTAATACAAAAAAATTGGATTTAGCCTGCAGGAGCCTCACTTAATACAACAAAAATTAGATTTAGCCTCCAGAAGCCTTAAATCATTGTAAATCATATGTGGATGGAATGATACCAGATATTGTCTCTGGCAAGCCTTATCAAAACTTGGACCCAGGTTTATAGCCCCTAGAAGCCTTCAATTCAGAGGAACTTTTTCAGAATGATCCCAGCATCATCCCACTGGCGTCAACTCAAAACAATCATTCAGTCTCTCAGAATGATACCGAAAAACCTTCCGGCTAACCTTCAAAACCCCAATTGGTTGATACATTCATTTATCTATAAAAAATCAGGTTTACGGGTCTTTCGAAATAATTAACCTCTTGGGCGGCCCAGACAGAATCCGAACCAACCATTCATGAGAGAAACCATTCGTCCAAAGTTCCTCGACCAAGTTATGATCCTCATTTCAATCGACATAAGTTATCATACTCGTTACTTCTGATTTCAGTGTAATCCGTATGAGGATATCATCTCGACATCAAGCCCCGCTTTAGATTTGAGCCTCACCACATTCCCTCTGATTTCAGTGTTTTCAATCTCATTAGTCCTTTGCATATAGAATATAACCAGGGTTGTCGAGCCCCGGCCCCGGGGCCCCGGCGGGGGTCCTGGGGTCCGGGGGTGGGCACCCCCAACCCCGGCTCCAGACCCCCCCCCCCAAAAAAGAAAAAAAAAAAAATTCAAAAAAATAAATAAATAAATAAATAAACTAGTGGGGGTTGCACAGCGAGAGCACGCACCATATGGGCTAAACCCAAAAAATGGGGTTTTATGCCCCACCCCGGACCCCCCCCGGGCCGCTGGTGCGGGGCCGGGGGCGGAACCAACAGCCGGTGGGGGAGGGGTTG